AGAGATGGAGAGAGAGACAGAGAGAGAGAGACAGAGAGAGAAAGAGAGAGACAGGCTGGGAGGGCTGGTGATATAACTCAGGGCAAAGGCCCTAGAGTCACTCCCCAGTTACACAGTTACACACACACACACACACACAGAGACACACACACACATCCTTCATTTTACCAACACCACTATATTTTTAATCTCTAGTCTTTGGCCATTTTGTCTTGGTATTTTTTATCATGTATATTTCTATGCACTATACATATTCATTTTGCTTTTCTTTGGTATAAACTCCCTACTCCACACACAAAAACACTAGAATTTAAGCTATAGGAAGTCAGATACTGTAATATTATGTTTACTGTTGACTCTACCATGCCTGGAACATAAGAGATTAATGATTGGATTAATAAATTCTCTCAATTTTAGAATTTTAATGTTTCATTCTTACAGTCATTTAGGGAAAATAACTGCATTTCCAGGAAGGAGCAAAGAGCTATTTGACACCATGTTGATCACCTTCATGCTCTACTTAGTTCAATACACAAGATTTCTTCAATGTCCCATCAGTGTAGAGGTCGCACATGGGGGAAAAGCACTAGAAGACATGGTCAGTGGAAGGTGTGCTGAATAGTCAGTGAGGAAGCACACACCGACATGAAGCAGGTGCCTTTCAGAAATTTGAGAAGCAAAGATCCAGGCCCTTGGGTGCTCCCATGGAGCAGGATCTTTCCTGAAGAATGGGAACTATCAGGAAAGTCATCCATGGAGAAGAAAGACTTTTTAGTGAAGAAAGAAAGCATGAATGAATACTGTGATGGGAGAGACCTAATTAGGAAAGAGATAAAAACCTACGTATGAAGAAAATGAGTTATGCAAAGCATTGGAGCTGTATTCTGGGAGTTGCGTAGTGCTAACCAAATCGTCAAGCCTATGGGACCAGGAGTAAGGTACAGGGCAGCAATCATCAATGGAACCTGCTTGTTTTCTCAGCAAGAAAAGGGTAATGATGAATGTGGAGTTTGAGGGGATTCAGCTTGGCACAATCTGGCAGGTGGCCAGGGGCACCGCAGAGCCTGGAAACTTAATTAGGAAGCTGTTGCAGTAATCAGAACTGAAGAGCCTAAGAGAAAGATGAAGGGAGTCCACGTACTGATGCAAATGTGTTAAGGAGACATGTAGGGACATCCTCAAATAGACCCAATTTGAGATAGGAAGAAACAGCCCAGAAAACCATTTAGTAATCATTATGCGTAATCATATCCTAATCTATAAAGAGCACATAGAATAAGTGAAGGGAGAAATCCACTCCAAAGAGTAAAATACATGTGCACATCACCTATCAGTTGAGAGCACGGCTTGGTGTTGGCCCTGTAACCTGATCTCACCACCTGAAGGCACTAGCTTGGAGCAGCGAATGTCGTCCTGTCCCTCGGGACCAAAGAGTGCTCTCAGGAAGCCCAGAGGCATCAGGTCTCTGGGGGCACACCATGCTCGAGTTCCCAGAATTGCACATTTGGGTATCATTAGCAAAGGAGTACGCTCTTCCTGCAGTGTCATGGGACCGTGCGAGAATAAAGGTCATTGCTAAGGCAGCCAGGACTCAAACCTCCCAGGACACAGTGCCTGAAATCAACACCTCTTACTGAACATGGAAACCAGTGAAGGGGTAGCACCGATGACAGCCCACCCTGGTGATTTCCAGCTAGAGCTGAGCCACAAAAGCCGGAGCCAGCGCAGCCAGGAGAACCATCCCCAGGGAAATCCAGTCAGATGGCCCTGGACTGATATTGATAAGAGACCTCTCAGGAGCCTGGTGATTGAAAGCAGCTCAGCCTGGGTTCTATGTCGAGTTGGAAACACACAATAGTGATTACTCAAGCTTTTCTAACCTGATGTCCCCTCTGAAGACCCCATGGAGACCCTCCCCTTAAACAGCAAGAAGGAAATGATCCATGCACCCCAGGTTCCTCATGTTTCAGTGAATTATGGGTCCAAGGAGCTTGTTCTGTGGTCTGCCACTCAGTCCCGAGTCAGCTTCGTTCCCTACACTGGCTCTTGTCAAAGGAAGATGGCACCACTTGGGTCAACAGTGTGACATCCACAGAGAAGAAACCAAGAGTCATCTTCAGGGATTCTTCTCAAAGGCCACAGCACGCAAATAGTTTTTCTTGTATTGTGTGTGTGTGTGTGTGTGTATGTGTATGTGTGTGTGAATGGGCTTGTGCATGCACATGTGAGTGTGTGTGTGGATACAGATCTCTCTTAGTGACCACCATGCACAAGTCTAACAGCATTTCATTTTGGATACCTTTGTCAAGTTTCGTGTGTTTAAGATCAAACTTATTTCTGGGCCTCCCATCTAACTTCGTTTCCTTTCTCTGGCAGCATCCTGTAGGCTGTCCCATCATGCAGCAGGCTTTAACCACTGAAAGAGAGCGTGCTGCTACTGTTCTTAATAGAGAAAAGGAGTGAGAATGTCAGACTAAATGGCAGCATTGCACTGGGCATGATGGTGTACTCCTGTAATCCCAACACTAGGGAGGCTGAGGCAGGAGGATTGCCTTGTGTTTGAAGCCAGCCTTCTCAAGGCCAGGATGAACTACATAGCAAAACTCTCTCTCTCTCTCTCTCTCTCTCTCTCTCTCACACACACACACACACACACACACAAGTGGCAGCATTGTATACACCGAGACTGAGGCTAATACGGGGCCTCTCCATGATTGTTTTGTCTAACCATCTAAAATTGTTCAGGTGCTGAGGTGGATCAGCTGTGACATAGACTGAGGACAGGGAAGGAAATTGTTCCAGTTCTCTGTCAAGTTGTCAGCAAGCAATGATTTTTTACCCTTTCCTTTGGCAGGTGCCATACCAAGTGCTGTGCTCTTCAAGTGGTCAGACGCTACTCCCCTACAGTGGGTTTGCTCTTTAGACTTTCCTCCTGTCTCCAGCTTCAGAAATCTACATCCTTAGGTGGAACAACAGGAACTAATGACTGTGCTGAGGAGCAGAGCCAACTCATTAGCGATGTTGTGTCCCAGGGCCCAGGGGAGAAGCACGGATGAGGAGCCTCCTTCTCCCCTACTCTCCTCGGCTCCCTCCCCATAACACAGGCACAGCTGGTATTCCATCCCAGGAAGATTTCAGTCACTCATAGCCAACAGCACCATGATCTCAAAAGGAGGCCAGTGGAGATTCTCCATTGCACAGAAACATGGGAGCCCAGCATCTCTGTACAGTGAAGACAATATCTAGTTCTCCTGAAAGAGTCAGTCAGTTTCGGTTGGTAATTCAGTTAGGAAGGTAGGAAGTTATTAGTAAAGACATACCCTCCCAAAGCCAGGGCGTGTCCCAGCTAAAATGCTATGGGTACATTTACCCTTGAATGCAATTACAAAATGCATCCTGTCAGCTCATTGCTTCTATAGAACAAGCAAGAATCCTGAGTACTCAGGGTACCGTGTATATTAAATTTCTATAGAAAAAGTGGTTTAATATGCTAGCAGTCACCTTCAGAGTGGGCTCTGCCTCCAAGGGTAAGCAAGCCAGTGTAAAGCCCATTCCTTGGGCCAGGCCCTTTGCATTGTAAAAGCAATGCGACATGATTTGCACAAATCTTTGCATATGTACCTTTCCAATTTTTTATACCATTACAGTTGGCTTCGGAGAGATAAAATCCAGGATACTTTGACTATGTTTATGTATCTTCAGTCTAATATTTTTATTGGGTAAAAATAAACAAAGCAGAAATAGGTATTTAATCTGGCAGCCTACTTCCTTCTTGTAGAAATATTCAAAAACTCCACCTGTCCAAACTTTATATGTGATCCACATGAGTAGCCTTGACAGGTTGATGGACTAACTATATGCTAGCATTCTCTGGGTAAGCACATTCACAAATCTCAAAATCATCACAAAGATGAGCCTTATGCCATGGGAAAACAGCTCTGTTTAAGGGAAAAACATGGATCGACTGCCTACTAAGTACACGTCATAGAAAACAAAACCTGTGCTACAATATCTCAGCCCTGAATCCCGCAAGATTTTCAACACCTGTTGGCTGGCGAGAAGTTCAGAACATGGTCATATATCTGTTATTATTTTTAGGAAGAACCAGATCTTCTATTGTTCCTGAGAACATTGGGTTCCCTCCCCTTGGTGTATCATCAGCAGGAGTCCCTCCATGCAGCAGATGTGGCTTAATGGTCACAAAGAGTTAAAGTGCTGCCTAAATTGAACCCAAGTCACTGTCTACACCCAGGAGGCCCTCAATTAGTGTGGACAGATTGACTTTCTCACAGACAGTAAAAGCTCAATTTCTAGAGATGGATCCTATGAGACTAAAATCAATAATTTAAGAAAACTTTGTCTTGGATTCCAGGTTAGTGGCAGGAGAACATATATAAATCAGAACTATATGTGTTAGTTTCCTTTAAAAAAAAAAAAGATGTTTTCCAGTTCACTGATGTATTAAACGTTTCCCATTAATTTTTTTGTACTCTAAGCACAAGCAGACCATCAAATGTGAGTCAGATATGAATGTGGCTGTGATGTAAGAGTGGTTAGGAAGAACCTGAAGAGCCACATATGTGAAGATAAGATGCGAGCATTGTCAATTAGTAACAATAACTTTTAATCTCAGTAATAAAGATTGGCTGTTAGCTTTGATTCGCTTGTGGCAGACCATCTTTATGGTATAGATTTCAGTAGCTTTCTAGATTGTTTTATGCTGCTCTTTAGGTCAGATAAGCATGTTTTTGAAGATGTGCCAGAGCGACCATACAATTTGAAAGCATAATGAATTTCCCCGTCCGCGCCCATCAGCCAGCGCTGTGCCCCTCGGTCAGGTGACAGATGGGAAAGCGTCTCCGTAGTCAAAGCAGAGTCCTGCAGGGCGAGGCGAGCTCCGTGGGCCATTTCAGCAGTGAGCTTTGAAACCTGGGTCCACACCGGAGCTCGGCATTGCCAGAGTGTGAGCAAATAAACCCTCAGCTGAGCAGCACCACGAGATGGGAAGCGGAATCAGCTCAGAAAGCAAGGAGTCTGCCAGAAGGTCCAAAGAACTGGAGAAAAAGCTCCAGGAAGACGCTGAGCGTGACGCCAGGACCGTCAAGCTGCTGCTCCTAGGTAAAGCTTTCCCCGCTGGCTTCACAAATCAGAGATTGCGTCAACCACGCGTACGCACTTCTCTCCCTCTTCAGCTTCACATGTGTCGCCATCCTGGGGATGTATTTTGAGAATGTGTTTGGAAACTCAAGTGGACTTTACGTGAGCTTTATATATATAGTATAGCTTGTTACTGTTTATGACATGTTTATGATAAGCCAGTGATAAATATTTATCGAAAGTCTTAATTTAGATCATTACATGATTCAAAATTCCATATACATTTATGATTTTACTGCATCTTAATCATTTTCTAAATGTCAATTTTATAAATACAGAAGGTAACCGTTGAGTTATAGATTACAAAGATGTATATTATTGTGTTTGAACAAAAATAGGTTCAGTGGTTTGACACCAAAATTGATGTTATTTACTTGTGCTGTTAAAATCAATTAATCTCAAGTTATTTATAGAGTAATTGTGAAGTACTTTGTATCAATAACATTTTCCAGACTTCTGAGCCCTGCCAGTGCTGGTGCTGTACACTGAGAAAATATTCCATTTAATTTTCTTTAGAACATTTATCTATCCATGAAGTTTAGGGTTTATGTCTCCTCTGTTTTTCCATACCCTCAAAGTACAGCATAATGATTTACCACAACCGTAAGCTCAATAAGTATTCAGTTAACTGAAAGTGTGAAAATGATCTATATGGCACAAGTTTTCAAGAAACTTTTAAGGAGAAGTGGTTACTAACAGAGAAATACATTTTTGAAATAAAAATCTATGCAGAGAAGAATGTAAAATATAAAATAAGACCTTCCATTTAATGAGTCACATGCTCACCCAACGTGAGATATATACAAAGAAATTCATTTCAGAATTGTGAGCCTTTCACATGACAAATTTCCTTCATTTTTAAGTGCCCCTCTACTGGCTCTAATTTTCCCCCAAGGGAACAAATTTCCTGGCAAGGACACTTGAGAGGAAAAAAAAATCTGGGATTCCCAGCACTTGTTCTTCAAAAGCAAAGAAATCTCTTCTCTCTGCTTGTACATGTTCTGCAGTTTCTTGCAGCCTGAACACCTCAGTCCCCAGCTAGAGGGTGATGTAGAAAGCCACAGCTGAGTGCTTAGGAGGCAGACACACACTCAGAGTTCCCCAAAGCTTAGGTCCAGTGATAAGGATGCTGAGAAACAAACAAAACATGCTAGAAAGGGCAAAGCATTCCCACAGATGCATTCTGCATCCCTCCTACACTGGGATAACGGTGTTAATAGTGCTGGTAGAACAGGTTAATAACCCTGTGCTTTGCATAAAATTTCAAAAGATCCGTTGTGGTTTCAACATACCAATGATTACTTTCACATTTTCTCTTATTTTATAAAAATACAAATCAAAAGAAGCCAAACAGAAAGAAAGAACGAATATTATGAGTTAGACAAAGGTGAATCCTGTGGAACATGGTGAGCCCAAGCGCCTCCAGAGGACCACCAGAGGTCCACCTGGGTGATGAGTGGACACCCAGGTGAGGGAGCATGTCCCTGAGAACCGAGTGTGAGGCGGGAGTGGGGAACGAAGAGAATCAGTGGATTATGATACCTGGCTTCCAGAATCAGAAAAGCTCACTGCTCCACAGAGCTACCGATTGGCGCTCAATTGGCAGTGTATAATATGAAGTATGCCGATTATTTTTAGACTCAAGTGGAGGGTTGATTAAGAAGGAAGAGTAACCGCTGTGCAGAAGACATGAGGCAACACTAGTGGGGTTCTCGTGGCTGCCACTTTTCCCACAGTCACAGATTGTTTCTCTGTTACTGTAAAATCAGCTTGGGTTACTTTGTTCCAGTGTAGACACTGGATTTCTCAGCCACATTCATTTATAGTAAACGAATCAAATTCTCTTCGGTTTTCCTTACTTCAAGTATGTTCCAAACATTTGACTGGGTTTTCCCTTTCAGACTGCATTTGACTTCCATGCATGATTCAGTTTTCCAGTTCAAATCAACAGCCTTGCAGCTCTAGTTTGGTTTATGAATTTAATTTGCATGTCCATACCATAAGTTTTGTGCTGAACTTGGCCTCAGTAACACATCATAAAGGTGTTCCATAGAACTAATCTAAGCCCCCCTCCCAGCCTGAACGTTGCCCAGCAGCGAAATCTATTTAATTTATCCCATCATTGAAACAATGTCCTCACTGTGTTAATGTGAGCTGGATAACAGTTTTCATGATCAGCAGTGAATGAATGTCACAGTGGGGTAGTTGGTGTAACCCCAGAAGTGGTCTGATTCTGGATCCTGACTCTAGCTGCATATTTTAAAAAGTAAGAAACCCACAAAATGCTTTTGACAGAACTCATCATTCATGCCAACCCTCCTTGTGAGCTAAGCAATGTAACTTCACTTTCCAGATCTCACACCCTGGGAAGCAGAGGTAACCGTTTGGCACCACTGGACTTGCGAGTACACAGAATGCAAAGAGCTACCAAGGGCTGCTTGAACATTTAAGAATCACCTTGCCCCCAGACTCCTTTTTTATTGTGTCTTTCAGACCTTCAGTAAAATTGTGGAACAGATGCATATGTGTTTTTAGCAAAAGAGTTGGCTTCTAGGAAACAACTGAAGATGACTCACGTAATGCTGGCACATCTAATAACTGTGCTCATCGCCATAATGCCACGGGCTTTAAAAAGCAAAGCCCAAAAGTTTAGCCAGTAAACATACCCCAGAAAGAGAATATTTTAGTAAGAAAGAAGGCTACCTTTTTAACTTTTATTGATAAATGTTTGATTCAATTATGTTTCCATTCAAGAGTAATCCCTGTTATTTAATTTTGGAATCAATATTTATCACATTTCCATTTTAGCTCTCCTCCCTTTTCATTCATTACTTCAAATCTCAGTTTGAGTTTATTTACTTCTCCGTGTTACTTTCCTTTGTATTTTTACAAGTTTTCCTTACCTTACATGAGCAGGTAAGAAGGAAAACACTAGCTTTCTTTTCCGTATTTGAAACACTGCCACATTTTGCATCTAACACACATTTGTTCTACAGTTCTCAGTTATAGTGCACTTAGCTTTTGGCCAGGGATGCCCAGAACTACCATGGAAAGCTCACCAAAGGTGTTCTTTTCCATTAGTTCTAAAATATTTTATTCTGAAAATTTATGAGTGGTTTTTAAAAACATCTCATTATTACTTTCTCATAATATCATCTAAGCTCTTTTATTTTAAAATATTATTCCAATTATCTGGCTTTTAGAAACAATTCAGGTAAAGTCGAGAGATAAAAGTATCTATTTTAAATGTTTATATTTATTGTGGCTAATTAATACTTTCAAATTTTTCGAATATTCCCACTTGCTCTGCAAAAGTATATGCAAGGCATTTTTTAGTATTGCAAGAGGAGAGTTACAATTTTGACATTAAATAAAATCTGTTATAAGACAGTTGGTAAAAAAAAACTTACACAACAGAATAAGTTCAATAATGTAAACCACACAGCACGGTGAGAAGAATTTAACACTGCTAGGCGGCTTTCACTTCCCAGAGTGAACTTGGGCTGCCCACGTAACCTCAGAGAAATGGTTTTGTAAATCTTCAGACCAACATGATTTAGGGTTTGGATAATAGATCCCCAAACTGCAATAAATTAAGTGTTAATAAATGCATACATTTTTCCTATTCCTTTGTATATAACTTCAAAAAAGGAGAATATAGACTCAAGTGAAATAAAAGTTATTTTCATTTCATATTTTTAAGTAGGCCCTGATTTTCATTTTTAAACAGTTTTTCTATGGGAACGGGGATTTAGCTCAGTGGTTCTGGTGCCTGCCTTTCAAGTGCAAGGTCCCGAGTTCGATCCCCAGTTCCAAAAAAAAAAAGTATTTCTATATATGAGTGGGAAAGAGACTGAAATTCATCAAGTGCAAGACATTCTATTTTGAAATGTTACTACATGAACACAGTCAATGGATAGGGTCAGATAACAGATTCCCCAGGAGAAGCCACAAGAATAAACCAATAAGCCCCTTTGTGATCAACAAAGGTGAAAGAAGAATCCTGTGAACAACATGTAAGATGTACTCCCAAGGATGTTTCCAGTTTTCTTTTACTTATCCAAATTAGAATCATTGTTTCCTTCTTCTCACATAGTGCATTTTTCTTTAAAATATTATAAAATAATTTATTTTGTGCTTCTGAAGATACCAAATCTTGTAGATGCGTGAAGATTTTTAATACATTCAAATGCTTTAAAGTGTTTATCAGTAAGCTGGAGAGAAAATGTTAGATAGAAAAGGGCTACTTGTAGGAGCTCCCATTTTGTCCCAGGTGCAGAGGGCTGCGGTCCATTGTTTGAGCTGCAAGCTGCAGAGACAGAAACACGAATCTATAACACTGCATAGCAAAGGACACTGGGTGGCAGCCTCCAATAGGTCTCTACATGTTCCCTTTTTTCTATAGACAAACCCACTTAGAGAAATGTTTTGCATATTTGAATGGGTTTTTTTAGATTAACTTATTTCAGTTGATCACCAGATTTTATTTGTTTTGTTTATGCAGAGCTAGGGATCAAACCCTGGACCTTGAGTGTTTGGAGCAGGGTCCCCATACTGAGCCAGGCCCCAGTCCAGATCAGCAAATAGACTCACGGTTTGCTCACACAAGTGATGCAAAGCATTCACTAAGCATCTCTTACTTAGCCCAATGGTGAAATGTGTTAATGAGATTGAGAAACCCTGTGTTGCTGAACATGACTTTAGAACACATTTATATTCACTTGTTTTCACTCGGGTCCTGAAGTGCAGGATGTACGAGCAGCACTGTACTTTTAACATTATTTATATAAGAGACATGAGTAGTTAACAAACATTAACAGACCTAATTTGCCTCCCCATAGTGTTAGAGAGGAAGAATGTTGGTGAAACATCTGACCCTCTAAGACCCCATGATATGTTTTATATAAAATAAAGCACACTTCCATTTAAGATATTAGACTCAAGTTCAAAATCTGCATTCT